AAAATTGTAAATCTTGTCATATAATTCGGTAGACATTTTTAAAAATAGTTTTGAAGGTAAAAAAAGTAGTTTAGAAATTGCAAGAAACAGAATTTTTAAAAAATTTTGAATGTAAAAAGTAGATTAGAATTCAAGAAACAGAATCACTATAAAGCGACAAATAACAATAAATTCGAGATACTGCCCTTTTATATGTTTTTCTTTCACCTCTTCACTGAAGCTCGAAATGTTAGAAAGGTTAGATAGAAGCAAAAACATGCGCTCTTACATCAAAAATTTCTACGATAGAAGTTGAGGTATTTCCACGCAGAGAAATTTCTATCGATGATGCAAAAGAATTCTATAAATTTGTAGAAAACTTACGACCGAATTATAAAAAGGCATTTGAAGTATGACTTATTTATTATAAAGTTAATAATACTTGTCGCGGATTATCGTGAAATTAGATCATCGTGAAATTTAGATCTATTATATGCACGTACGATTTTTACAAATTTTTGGGGTCTTTTTTTGTCGGCTTTTTTTTATAGTTAAGTTAGGATTTAGGGTTAGGGTTATTAATAAAAGAGTATAGGTGGATTTTGGTAAGGCTTATATTTTCAAATAGAGACCCCAAATTTCACGATGATCTGATTTCACGATAATCCGCGACATTTAATATAAACATTAATTTCTAATAAGAACATGTGCTTAATTACTGACCTAGAATTAAGCAAGCCGGTTAAGCCAACTAATGAACTACAAGAGAAAGAAATTTATTACAAACTAATTTTTTGTAGTTTACCTTATGTGGCACCAAAAATCTTACAAGACAAGCCCTAACTCAGGCTGCTAATATTTATTCTTTTGGAATAATTAATTAATCATTGTTGAAATGCTGATCTACTAATCGACTAATCGATTAACTAATTAATTGATTAATCGATCAATCAAATAATCGATTAGGTGATTAATTATTGTGTTGCATAATTTTAGGGCGAAAGATGACCGAATTGAGTAGAGATTCAATCAAAAGCTTCATATATCAGGTTGGTAAAAAATAACTGAATAGTGATCTTTTTTAAAACTATTGATTATTACTTAATGTTATAGAAGGTTAATATTAGCGAGATAGTAAAATAGGTAACTGTTCAGTTACTTTTCACCAACTCGGTATAACTAATTGCTTGCCAGTATTGGATAAATGTTTTTCACTTCATAAAACATGGCTAATTTTCATTAAATAATCATCAATAACCTCTATAATTAATTTTTTTTAGGGGAATTTACATATCTGAGCCCAAATTTGAAAATAATATTACAAATACTGGTATAAGTAATTTTGTGTCATATATACATATATATATATATAACTCAAATTTAACTTCTAACACATAAGAAGTGTTATTGTTACTACATATTAACAAATGTAATAAATGTAAATTAGTAATCATATATTCAATATATAAGTATAAAATTCAAAGCACTTATTTATTAGTAAATTACTTTCGTTTTGACTTTTATATTAGTGATATTCTCAAAGATTAGGCCTTTATAACTAAATAATTCTCTTATTCATAATTATTTTCAATTTTGGATTCTAATATGTAAATTCTCACTTTTTTATTATTATTGTAGTTTGCAAAATTTGATTATTAAAAAAAAGTATTATCGATTCAAAACTCAACTCTTCCTGATGATTACTTGCACCAAAACTATACTGAAAGCAGTTTGAAGTTTTGAAGACTAAAAGCCTCAAGATACTTGTAGATCCTATTAGATGCTGTTGTTAACAAAGGTTATATACGTGATATACTGAGGAGAGGGTATATATATGCTGGTTTGTGCTTTGAATCAAGCTTTTCTTCTTTGGTAGACTCTCTTGCATGTTTGGCATCTAAGCCAGAAGGTTTATTTTGGTAACAGTAGTGGTGAAAAATTCTCAACACAAGTGCTAGAAGCTGATAGTATGATAAGTATCATTTGGAAATACACTCTCTGGTTTAAGTACTCACAAATATGAAATATTTTTCTTCCTTCAAACTTTTGGCCTTTTTTTCAACAAAAAGTAGGAAATTCGACATATTTCCTTCAAAAGATTGACATTATTTACTATTTTCATATCAGAAAACTATATGATAACGAAATAATATGTATAAAATAGACAGTATCAGTGAATTTTAGTAACTGTATGGATACTCCGATTGAATATCTTATATGTTGGGTTGTTCAAAGTATACAAACTCATGCAGTTGCCAAATGGTAACATGTGAAGTTTAAAGTTCTTATACTTTCGAACACGATATAGATTTAACTAAAAGAGCAAAGCAAAATGAAATGAGATATACAAACATCTTATAGTCATTTGTATATAATTTTTAGCCTCTGGCACGAGTTATAGTGCATTTGTTTTTTCTTTTTTTTATATCAAGATTCTTGCAATAATATAATAGAAGTAGTTTATTACTCTGTATAGTTAGAAGTTATTATCTGGTTAGCAAGTCTTCTTCTTTCTACATAGTAATAGTTTCTTTTGGATTTTATTTTTGTTTTTGTTTTTAGTCCCTTTTTATATTAGTACTCATTTTCATATATGTATTTGTTTTTTTTTACATCCTTCCTTTACATATTTTTTTTTCTTTTTTTTTTCTCTACGAGAAAGTGTCATCAGATTGGTAGTACTCTATTATAGGGCGAGAATTCTTACAAGGCTGACTACATGCCAGCTATTGATTCTGGAGAAAAAAAGTCTAAAGCAAGTTTTGAATCTCTGGAGAAGGCCAAGTGTGGTTACGGCAGGCCATATTTAAATACAATATAGTAGTTAATAGTTTGTTGTAAACTTGCTTATATAAAACTGGATGAGGTTTATTTTTGGTTGAGATATTATAGCTACAAAGGTTACGGCATCTATGTAAAAACTTTAGTCTTTCTTCAAATAAAGTAAACCAGATTGTTTAAGAAAAAAAAAAAAGTATTACTGATTTCTGATTACTAATTTCTGATTTTTTTAACATTTTTTTGACTTTTAGATTAGATAAAATTTGTGCAGTTATTATTTTGAAAAAATTTTTATTTTGTAATATATTTGCAGAAATAGAAGTTATATTCAATCAAATTTTTACAAATAATAAATGCACAAATTTTGTCAAGTTTAAAAGTCAAAAAAATTGAAAAAATCAGAAATCAGTAATCAGAAATCAGTGATAACTTTTTTTTTAATGATCTTTAAATTTCACATAATTTTGCAAATTGCAATAAATGATTGTAATTGCGATCGTAATTGCTAAAGCTAATCGCTATCTCAATCACAATCATTTAATAAAAAAAAATAATAATAATTATAGTAGTTCTAAAATTATGCAAACCGCAATAAACATAATCTATTATTAATTGATTTTCTAAAAATTACCAACTAATTAATTGATTTTTATCTAATTTATAATAATACCAAGAATTCAAATAACTTACTAATATTATTAAATAAAGACTTGTGTTCTGTTTTTGCAATCTTAATAACCGTATTAATATGTTTTTGTCAACCGAAAAACTTTAAATCCCACTGCTTAGTAAAAGCTTTATTTTTTTTAAACTAATTTTTAAACAACCTTTTGTATGACTTCGCTTCTTTATAGGCCTGTTGTTAGAAATAGTAAAAAAAACAGTTTAAATCATTTTTTATCTGTTTAATACATGTGATAATTAAAGCTCAAATACTGATTTAAATAATGCTCTCACTTGTTTTTTAGTTTATCTTTATCTGTTTTTAATTACGTAATAAAAAATATTCCTATCCCTACTTGTTGTAATTGCTTCTTTAATTCATCTGTTTTTCTTGCTTGCTCTTTCAAATATTGCTATATTTATTCAGTTTTTTTA